TTCTTTCTGCCCCTCTACCCCACCCCTGCTTCTGGCTGCGCTCCTTGCCCAAGATCACACCTTCCCAGGGCAGCTAGCATCCAGTGACCAGTCACCGTCGGGTAAAAACCAGGCTCCCTCAGTCCTGCCCAAGCAACTCTGGAGGGCAATCCCAGCTCCAGAGCTCCTATGGGGTCCCCTGAGGTCCTTCTGTGGCTTTGCTGCCACCTGAGTTCTCCCTTTGCCAGGTGCTGCTTCCCCTTTTTCCCCTCACAGGTGTGGGTCGCAAGGGCACGCCCCAGGAAACTCCCCGAAAGTCAACAGTGTTTCCTAGAGAACACACCCAACCTGCCGCAGCTAGTGCCAGGGATGGTCTCAAAGAGTAGATGCTCAGATGGGATTTGGGAGCTGGATGACCCTGCTGTCCATGTAATAATGAGGGTTCCATCCCCAGTAGAGGAAGGGTGTGTATAGCCTGAGGCACAGGGAAACACTAAGGCTGTTCAATTTTTCACCATAGTAAAATGGAATGGTTTGGCACCCACATGATCTGCCTTCCATATCTCTTAGTACTCCTTTGCTTTATTTTGACAGTAAATGAACAAAGTAGGCACAGCCTGAGAAATACATAGCAACCAGTGGCTCAGACTCCTTAGGGATGGAGGGTTGAGCCACCTCACCATATAAGCCACCTAGCCCACAGCAGTGCTAGCAGAAGGTGAGAGGAATCTAGGATGGCAGAAGAGGAGGGAAGTGTTTAGTGTGTTAGTTATGCCTTAAGATGAGCTACAGCAACGGTGGGAGCTGTGATTTGTCCCGCTAACCTTCCTCTTAAAAGATTCCACACAGAAATACATCCCCACCAGGGTCCTGCTCTCAGAACTGAAAAGAAGCAGGTGGATCTGCATAGCACAGTGGGTGCACCGTGGCAAATGTTGCCTTGGGCTTCCTGGTCCCCTTGAAGACTGAAGGACCTAGTCCCCAGCTACTGGGAAGGTGGGAGGTTGACAGATCTCAGCTGTCAGCCCTCTCAAGGAATTGTCCTTGGCTGAAGAGCAGACTCACCCAAGGTCATGCCCCATTCCTGGGGTAGCTAGCATCTGATGACTAGTCCATGCAGGGATACAAAGGCTTGGCCCCTTTTCCCCAACTCCGAACAGCCATCCCAGCTTCAGAGTTCCCCACGGGGTCTGCCAAAGCCTCCAATGACTGCACCACTGCAAACTGCTCCCTCGGCCTTCCCTGCTGCCTCCCCTCCCCTCCCCTACTCCTGAGCGGCACTCCCTCATAAACTCCCTGCTCACTAATCGCTAATTGCTAATCTCTTGTCTTCTGAGTCAGCTCCAGTGGAACCCAGTCCGTGAGAGGAAAGGAGATTTGAGCCCAGGGCACAAACTGTTAAACTCTGGATTTAGCTCTTTTGTTTTATCTAATCCCGGAAATCCCATGTGCATATGTATGGTGCATCCACCACACTCCTAACCCGTGTGGTGAACTTGACCCTCCCCTCCCCTGGGGAGGCAGTGTGTTCTTTATCCTGTCAGGCCAAAGATACTCCTTAAAGAGAAGAGTGATTACACAGTCCCCTCCACAGCTTTTACCAAGGTCCCATCTGGATTCAGCCTCTGCTGGGCCAAGGCCTACCATCCATCACGATAAAGCACACCATGTTCACAGCCCCTTAACAGCCACCGAATGCCTATTTATGACTCCAGGCTGCCACCATAGATCCCTCCTGGGGGCCTTCTGGGTCCCCAAGGATTTTCTGCCTTAAGGATCCTTGTGGCTCATCTCTCTCCGAATAGAAAAGTCCCAGCTGCTTTGCTTAGGGGTGAGTCAGGGGATGGGGAGGTTCTATCACTGAGGCAGAGTGCACGACTCTGGGAGTCTATTAAGTAAGAGGAGGGAAAGAGGCCTAGGGAGGTGACAGGACTTTACCAAGTTCAAGGCAGTAGAAGGGGTGGGACTGCAATACAGTTCTGTATCCTTTCTGTTCCATCACACCACCTCTCCTAACCCCTAGGGTTTGCATCTACTAAAATCTAGACTGGGATATAGAGAAGGGAACTGATCTGTCCTGTAGATCTCTGAGAGGCTTGGGACTTTGAAACACCAGACACATTAGAAGTCAAGAATGAGATGTGGGGCTAAAAACAGGATTAACGAAAAATCTGTAAACAGAATATTTGGTCCCTGTCCACCCCTCCCACCCCCATCCTGGTTGGTAAGAAGGAATGGGACAGGTGACTATTGTCTAAGACCTGTAGCCATTAACCTGGTAAAAAAAAAAAAAAATTCTTAATTTTTTTTCAACTTCGCACTATTTTTTTTCCTTTATAGTTGACATATATTAGTTTCGTGTGTACAACAGAGTGATTTGACATTCGTATACATGATGAAATGATCACCACGATAAGTCCAGTTACCATCATACTGCTTGTTTTTATCCCTTAATCTTAGATCCAGAAACTTTTGTGGAGGGGCAGAGATAGGAAGGACTGGGAAGTGCTGCCCAGGTAGAAGGAGAAATTTATACTTGATTGATTGATTGATTGACTGATTTATAGAGGGTTTGGAGGGGCAGAGGGAGAAGGAGAGAATCTTAAGCAGGCTCCATGCCCAGCTCGGACCCCATGTGGGGCTCAATCTCACGACCCTGAGATCATGACCTGAGCTGAAATCAAGAGTTAGACATTTAACCGACTAAGCCACCCAGGAGCCCCATATACTTGTATTTTTTTAACATGATAATCAAGTGATCATCATTCCACTCATTTGGGGTCAGAATAGGCAAAACTGTTCCAACATTTCACCTCAGGATTCTCATCAACTGCCTCATAGGCAACATCAGTAGACATTGTTTGAGAATTCAGAACTACGTAGTTGGAGTTTTTTGTATTACTGGGCAACAGAAACTCTGGACAAAAAGCCAAGAATATGATTCCATCAAACTTCTCCAGTACTTAAAAAAAAAAAAAAAGTGAAGCCCTCCTGCAGTAATGTGATATGCATATCTGAATCCCTGGAATATATCTATCAGCTTCTGCCAATTTTGGTGGCAGAAGAAAACTAAATGATATCATATTTTTTAAAAATATCCTTCCCCCCAGGAGACCAATGTTCGGACAGGAAAGTCTATACACTAGCAATCAAATCCCTCCTTACCCAATCTATGTGGTGACACTGATAACTCTGTGAGTTTCTTCAAGGCTGTTGGGTTTAGTGGAATTTGAAACTTGCTGAGTTTTGTGAACATGTAGGCATTCCAAAAATAGAGACAGATGTCACTCTTCCAGGTCTTTCTAGAGATGACCTATGTGGAATTTAAGGAGAAAATGAATGTCCCATCTCCTGTTTGCTGCATGGGGGACTATCCAGGAAAGAGCTGGATCCAAAGTTAGGGTTAATGGTGATTTGGTCCATGAGTCATGAAAGAAAAAGAAACCTCCGCTAGACAGTAAAATTGTAGATGGTCATAACAAATTATGCCAAGGTCTTGGTTTTTTCTTGTTTTTATCCATCCAAACTAAGCCTCTCCTCAGGCCTCAACTCAGTAAATAGTTATCACCAAACACTTGGTTACTAAGGCCAAAACCTTAGGAGTCATTCCTGAGGCCTTTCTTTGCTTCAACCCCTCCGCATTGTCAGTCGTTTTCCTTGCCTACAAAATAGCCAAAGCTGTACATTTTTCTCCATTTTCACTATTCTCATCCTAGCCAAAGCTACATTTCTCTCTCCTAGAGTACTTTGCCTGTTAACTGGTATCCCTGCTTTCAAACTTGCCCCTCCCCCCCCCCACTAACTACACTATCTTTACAGATTAAATAAGACCCTGTCAGTCTCCTGCTGAAAACCTCCTGTGTCTTTCCTTTCCACTTAGAACAAAATCCAGACTTTTTACCATGGCTCCCAAAGCTCTACCTCTGGCCTCCGCCTACCTCTCTGTCTTTTCATTCTACCCTGCAGCCAAACAGGCTATTCCACAGTTCCTTGAACAAGCCAACCTCTTCCCTGTCCCTTCCCCTAATCCTTTTTGCACTGGCTTTTCCCTCGGTCTGGAGTAGCCTTGCCCACATCTTCACAGGTTAGGTCTTTATGATCTTGGTGATCTCAGTGAACCTTCCCTGACCATCCTAAATATCACCGCAGGCCTCCTTCTCCCCCGCCATCAGACCGACCCCCCCATTTAATTCATAAAGCAACACCTGAAATGATCTTCATTTTCAAGATAAAATTTTAACGTGTTTCTCTTCCTCACCAGGACATAAGCTTCCGGAGAGTGGAAACCTTGTCTCGCATGTCCAGGCCAGTCCCCCCACTAGGTGTCGACAGTTATTTCCTAAATGGGGCAGTCCCCGAGCTGACCGAGCCGAGGGGGCAATGCTAACACAAGGTGACAAGAACTGTACGGAGCCCCGAGTCACTTGGCAGAGCCCCCCACCTACCACTCTAGTCTCCCTTTTGAAAGGCTAAAGACTTGAGGGGCATTTTGTCACGAAACAGTCATTAACAACGATAACAATACTATTATTGGCAAGAAAGCCAAAAGGCGGCGTGGCCTGCCGGAAGAGACCCGGGCGCGGGGCAGGGGCCTGGGCCGGGTGCCGGCCCGGCTCCAGGGCAGCGAGGCGGGCGGCCGAGGAGAGACCGGCGGAGCGCAGCAGGGCCCGGGGCTGTCGGGAGGGTCGGAGCTGCGTGCCGGGCCTGCGAGGCGGGCGGCAGAGCCGGGAGGGCCGAGCAGGTTCGCCGCGGGTCGGGAGCTGGCGCGGCCTTGCTGGCGCCGCCGCTTCGCTTCCGGGTGAGGGGCGGGCGAGACGAGCAGTTCCGGGGCGGGCGGCGGTTCCGGCTGTGCGGGCCGCGCCGCGGCTGCTGGTCCCGGGCGCGCGGAGGGCGCGAGAGGCGCGCGGGGGCCGAGGGGGCGCGAGGCGGCGGCGCGGGGACTCCGGGCCCCGGCGGCGGCCCATGGGGCGGGAGGCGTGAGGCCGCGGCCTGCCCGGGGCTCGGGGGGTGGGGGGAGCGGGGCGGGGAAATGGATAAACTGACCATCATCTCAGGATGTCTCTTTCTGGCCGCCGATATCTTCGCCATCGCCAGCATCGCCAACCCGGACTGGATCAACACCGGGGAGTCCGCGGGTGAGCGGCGGGCGTGCGGGGTCGGGCGGGGGATTGGCTGCGGGAGGGGAGGGGAGACACGGCTGAGGGGAAAACGGGACTGGAGGGTGCGAGGCGGGGGCTGGCCTGAGGAGGGAGGGGACGAGGGGGCGTCCCGGGCTGGGGGGCCGGGAGCCCAGGGGGCCGAGAGCTCAGGGGGCCGAGGGAGGAGAGGGGATGGAGAAGAGGAAGCGCGGTCGCCCGCGGGACCCTCTGGCCGAGGGGAGCGGCGCCCCAGGCTGAGCGAAAAGTGGTCGAGGGGGCGACGAGACCTGGGCTGGGCTGGAGGGTCCCGCACGGGGAAGAGGGGGTGGTGGGGAGACAGTCACTGGACCTGAGGGACCCCGGAGGAACGAGCTTCGTCCTGGATTGGGGGAAACGGGGGGGGCGGGGAGAAAGTCCAGGTGGGAGACGGGAAGAAACCGATTTGGAGAAAACTGAGGCGCCCGTGAAGGAATTAGAAACTAGGCGGGGAGCCGGGGCCGGGAGGGAGGCCGCCTGTGGGGCAGAGCGAGAAGCCCCAGAGAGCAGCGTGAGGAGTCAGGTCCGGGCGCCGGCCCCGGTGGGAGCAGCGGCCGGGTTCCAGGTGGCCCGACCAGACAGGGTTAATGGTGCTGGGGGAGCTGGTGAAATGGGTGGGGGCGGGGGTCTCCCTCCCCCGCGCCCTCGCCTGTCCCCTGCCCGCTTGGCAGTGTTTAAGACGCATGTGGCTTCCGATTTTCCCTTTGAAGTCTGTGTGGTTATAATTTTGCTTTATTTTAGGCCCGGGAGCTATAATAATACTAATAATAAACTTCGTTTTATGGAGCATCTTTCATTCCAGCGCATCACAAAACGCTTTAGAGATCTTAGTAGGAGTTACAAAATTAAGTAACACATTAGAGTTTCAGGCGTCCCAGCAATGGTAGCAGTGTCTGCTGTAACACCACGGATCTGTAGGCGGCAGAGACAAGGTGGTGCCCTCAGGAGAGAAGTAGGCATCCTTCTGAAGGGTATCCCAGGTGAATGCCCTTGCAGGATTTTTCTCTTCTTGGACCACCACGCTCTCGCGCTCGCTCTCTCTCTCTCTCTCTCTCTCTCTCTCTCACTCTCTCTCACTCTCTCTCACTCTCACTCACTCACTCACCCAGACCTGTGAGACCAAACCTCTAATTAATGTCACAGCTGTCAGGAGAGCTGATGGGAATGAAGGAGTGAGCTTGTTTTCTAACTGCTTGTTCAGTGCAGGTGAAGGGAATATTGGGGGTTGGGAATGTTAGACTCCCTCCGTGAATAATTTGTTATAAAAATGTATCACTGTGCTGTCAGAGTTACTTCTTAAGTATTACTTATGGTTCTGTATTTATCCTGCAGTATATTTAGCTCTTAAAAAAAAGCTGTAGCTGGGACATTTGTTGCTCCCTCCTCCCTCCCTTCTCTCCTCCATCTAGATCTAGTAACACAAAATCATGCTGTCAGATTTACGGGTTATTAAAATAACACACTAAAAAATTCTCCTTTTCTTGCCTTTACAAGTTTTAGCAGAGCTCTTAATTGTAAAACATATATGATTATTTTGATGTGATTGAGCTGTTAGCTAATGCTACTGTGGTAAATTTGCAATATATAAATGTATCAAATCAAATGTACACAATGTATGTCAGTTATATCTCAGCTTTTTAAAAATTGTTAGGTGAATAAGAAAATGTTCAGGATGGTTTGGAATTTGATGAAACTATGGGCTGTTTCTGAAAATGTTGACAATGTCAGTGTTACTACTAGTTTGTACAGTTATATGTGTGACATCCACTTCATGGCCTGTTGTTTTTATCTTAGGTATATGTACAGTGACTTCTTTCATGAGACTTACTTTGGGACCTTGTATATACTTAGGGATGAAGAGGTTTCACTGTTCTAAAATAGAAGGTGATTTTTGCAAAGTGCTTTTAGGTGAATCCCAATGTAAATGTCCATGGGAAAGATACACAGTTGATCCTTGAACATGGGCTTGAAATGCACTAGTCCACTTACCCATGGAATTTCTTTGATGAAAAATCTTACAGTACTGTAAGAAGAAATCAAATCTTCTTTGATAAGAAATACTGTAAATGTATTTTCTCTTATGATTAACATTTTCTCTTCTCTAGCTTTATTCTAAGAATACAGTGTATAATACATATAACCTACAAAACATGTGTTAATCAGCTATTTATGTTATTGGCAAGGCTTCCAGTCAACAGGCTATTAGTAGTTAAGTTTTGGGGGAGTCAAAAATTATGCATGGATTTTCAACTGTGCAGGACAGGAATAACTCCTTCATATCAGTAGACGAAGTCTTTAGCTATGAGTTGCTGCAGAGATGGGAGGGACAGAAGTTCAAGGCTTGAAAAAGTAGAACATGTTTGAAATAAATAGTTGGAGAGAAGGCATGCCAACCAGTGATACAGGAGGATTGTCTAGCAGCATGGAAGCCTCATTGAAATTAGTGGTCAAGAACATAGAGTGTGATGAGCCACCTGCCTTATTGACCTCTAGTAGTGCTCAGTTGCTTTGATACCAGCCCGTGGTGAAAGCCAGTAGAAGGTTTCATTCATGTTTGGGGTTTGCCAACAAAATGCAACAAAATGACAGAGGAGCAAAGATGTTTAACGTATTGGTCAAAATGTTGTAATGATGGCTCATGGATTCTCAGCTGGATAAAAAGTAAAAGTGAATAAAGGAAAGAGCTGATGTATTGGTCAAAGAATAGCAGATGGTATATGGTCAGTGGGATTGTGGACCCAATAGAATTGAAGATCTGACTGGGAATGAATGATACATCAAAGTGGAAGGGCAGGGAATTACGGACGCAAGGTCCAGAGTGACAGAGGGGATGTGTGGCTAAAGTGGGTGGAGGAGGTGGTTTTTTTCCTAACAGTTTCCTTGGCCATCTCAGGAAACCCTTCAATTAAATATTCTATAACTTGGAAGAGGAATAATAGGAGATAGTAGGAAATTTTTCAAAATCATATCTAACCTATATTTCTTACCTTAAATATGTCAGACGGTAAGCCCCCAAAACTTAAATAGGATGTTTCCTTATTGACTTGTGCTGTGATAAGATGTACCTGAGGTTGGCCTGGTACAGCATTTGTATGCTCAATGTACACTTTTATCTGAGCAGACAGAACTAGTCTTGAGTTTTTAAAAAAATTCTGGACAGAATTGCACCTTCCAAATCAATGAAACATTTACAGGAAGTTCATATAAGATGGCAGAAGTGACAGGACTAGCTTTATTCTAAGATCTGCACAGAAGTGACAGCCTAGCAGCAAAAAGTTAATGTGTTGGTTCCCTTCAGTGCATTAAATACAGCATATTTTGATGATGATGTTTTTACTGCAGTTTTTTAAGTGGACAAAATATATTTTGAAAATTGAATCCTGGAGCTGAAAGGTTCTGCAGATGTAATTTGAAAACCACTGCAGTGAACTAGTACAGAAAGTTTCAGAATTCAAATCCAAACTTCATCGCTTATTATTAGCTCTTTGATTTGGAGCAAGTTACTTAGCCTCTCCCTTTACAGTTCTTCTCTGTAAAAGAGGGATATTAATAATACCCACTGCATTTGATTGTTAATGATGATTGAGTTCGTCCATGTAAAACATTTAGAACAGTACCTGACACATAGTAAGTGCTCATTAAAGGTTAGATATTGTTGTATTGCTGTTCTAGTTTATGATAATATGTCAGAATCCCAGTTTTGAAATTAAAGGTCAGAGCTTTTTACTGTGAGAACTGATACATTTTCTTTATTAGATGTTCTTGGTAATAAAGAAATACCAAGAATAATATGGCCAGGCCTAGCAGAAGTCAAATCATCTTCCCTCTTGGCATTGGACTTTCTGCATCGCTCCTATACTGTTCTTCCTCATTTAGTCTTTCATCATATTCTAGTCTCTGTACTCTTCAAGTTTCTACTTGAACTACCACAGAAGGAAATGAAATATCCAAAAACAAAAAACTGAATAGGATAACTTCTTAAAATCCTGGCTAATAAACTGTATTATCATAAGGTTGTGGACCATGCTTCATGCTGGCAGAATTTTTAGTTAGATTTTATTGTATTGGTGCAAATACAGAGAAAGTACATTCATTTTATTTTCATTTGTATGTGGTAACATTTCCTGAGCTTGCTCTGATAGCTTGTAGGTTATACACAGACTTTTGAAGATATAATGAAACAGAAGTAGATATTGTATGTATGAGGAAAGTACATGAGGAGGCACTTTAGTAAGGACCCTTAGTGGTTCCTAGTAAAAAAAAAAATATTGAATGGCAGGTGAATATAAGGGCAAAATTGCATAATTCTGTGTCAGGTCAAATTTCTTCTCATTACTAGAACTCAACATCAATAACAATATTTTTCATTTTATATACTGCACTATAGTTTTTGAAGCAACCTAATGTCCATGACTTTATTTGATTTCTTAGGCTTTTTATATTTAGCCAATGTAGAATAGTCATTTCCACACCTTTTCCCACATGTCAGTGCTTTGCACATGAGATTTGAGTTTCAGTGTTGCAGACTCCCTTCAGGAAAACTCTCCACTGAAGAGAGTATCTTATTTATGCACACCTTTTATTTACTTAATGGAGGTTAAAATTCTTAAGTGGCTGAAGTTCTTGCCAGATTTCAGAAGAGGGAAAGTAGGAGATTTGGGTTTTAGTCTTAAGTGATGTCCTTTGCTTTGTACAAGCCCCTTAACCTCACTATCACTGTTTTCTCATCCCTAAAGAGACAAATTTTTGTGGGGGGAGAAAAAGTTTTTTAGTTTTATTGAGTTAATTCTAAGAAAGTCAACAATTCAGCAATGCTCTGCTGATAAATAAAAATGATCTAGAGATCCCTTCATTGAGTCATCTTCCCTTTACAGCAAGGATTTTAGTGACCATTTAGGGTGATGCCATCCTAAATCATCTTAGATAGTTTAGTGTTCTTAACAAAGATTTCCGGGTGTTTT